GTATACTTTCAAACGTGGATGACTTGAAGAAAAAGCTGATGTTCAAAAAAACTTGAAATGATGATATTCAATGTTAGCTAACATCAATGGAACATAATCTTAAACGTGTACGGAAAAAAAACATCAGTATTATTACGCATTAGGCCAAAGAAAAGTTTGTGTCCATGTACAATAAATTGAATATAAATAAGGTGTAATTTTGTAGCAGAGATGCTGAAAAATTCACATGTAAGTCAACCGAAGGGAAATGAAAGTATTTATTGTATATATTTAGCAATTTATTGAATAGCATTTTATGCCACCGCTGATTTTTTTACGTCAATTAAACTCAAGAGGAAACAATGGATACAATATGTGGCCTTAAAAAAGCGTACTATTTTCGCAAAAAATGGTTCGCAAACTTTCATAGAATCAAAGCGTTTGAAACAAAAATATTATTATATAAATAACTAGAAATGTGTCCATAGGACACGGGTGCCCCCACCGCGCCACTTTTCTCTCAATCTTTTTACTAAGTCAAGGGAAATAACTCTACAAATACTGGATAAATTCACAAGCATACCCCAGGTGCAAATCTAAATATGCTGAGCAACCTACCCATAAGGTTTAATGACTATGTCAAATCCTTTTTGAGTAACTTGCGACACAAGTTGAAAATTACAAAAATTTTCTAAGTGAAGGGCAATAACTCTAAAAATACTAAATAAATCCAGAAGAAAATACCTTGTGCATAACTGCACATGCTGATCAATATTCCTGTAAAGTTACATGACTCTAGATAGGTTAAATACTTTTTGAGTTACGTGCGACACATGTTGAAAATTGCAAAAAAAATTTAAGTCAAGGGCAATAAATCTGAAAATACTAAAAATATCTAGACAAAAATACCCAGGTGCACAACTACACATGCTGATCAACATTCCTGTAAAGTTTCATGACTCTAGGTCAAATACTTTTTGAGTTACGTGCGACACAAGTTGAAAATTGCAAAATTTTACTAAGTCAAGGGCAATAACTCTGAAAATACTAAAAATATCCACACGAAAATACCCAGGTGCACAACTACACATGCTGATCAACATTCCTGTAAAGTTACATGACTGTATGTCAAATAGTCTTTTTGAGTTACATGCGACACAAGTTGAAAATTGCAAAATTTTACTAAGTCAAGGGCAATAACTCTGAAAATACTAAAAATATCCACACGAAAATACCCAGGTGCACAACTACACATGCTGATCAACATTCCTGTAAAGTTTCATGACTCTATGTCAAATATTTTTTGAGTTACATGCGACACAAGTTGAATATTGCAAAATTTTACTAAGTCAAGGGCAAAAACTCTGAAAATACTTAAAATATCCACATGAAAATACCCAGGTGCACAACTACACATGCTGATCAATATTCCTGTAAAGTTTCATGACTCTATGTCAAAATACTTTTTGAGTTACATGCGACACAAGTAGAAAATTGCAAAATTTTACTAAGTCAAGGGCAAAAACTCTGAAAATACTAAAAATATCCACACGAAAATACCCAGGTGCACAACTACACATGCTGATCAACATTCCTGTAAAGTTTCATGACTCTAGGTCAAATACTTTTTGAGTTACATGCGACACAAGTTCAAAATTGCAAAATTTTACTAAGTCAAGGGCAATAACTCTGAAAATACTAAAAATATCCACACGAAAATACCCAGGTGCACAACTACACATGCTGATCAACATTCCTGTAAAGTTTCATGACTCTATGTCAAATACTTTTTGAGTTACATGCGACACAAGTTGAAAATTGCAAAATTTTACTAAGTCAAGGGCAATAACTCTGAAAATACTAAAAATATCCACACGAAAATACCCAGGTGCACAACTACACATGCTGATCAACATTCCTGTAAAGTTTCATGACTCTAGGTCAAATACTTTTTGAGTTACGTGCGACACAAAAGTGAACGGACGGACGGAAGGAAGGACGAACGGACAGACGGACGGACAAGGGTAAATCTAAATGCCCGCCACTAACGTGGGGGCACAATAAAAAACAAGATAACAATACAAAGCTTTCAAAGGTTTTCTGGAATTAACGGATGCAATTTGGTAAAACTTGGTTTTGACTAGTAGGGCACACCCGCCATTGTTCGGACCATCGACAGAATAACGTTCGTGTTTTTCAGATTTCTCCATCCAAGACATAGATTTGCTGATGAATAACATCGCAAAGGTTTGTGGAAATGCTTTTATTTCTTTGTTCAAAATCGTTTTGTGTTTGCAGATGTTAATTTGTTAGACAAACGAAATTAGGTCAAGGATTGTTTACATTATTGAATTTACAGGTAAACTCGGCCCTATACCAACTCGGGACAGGTCAACTCGGTCCTCTATTAACCCTTTCACTGCCATAGGGACGGCTTAAGCCGTCCCTGTTATTTTCGGCATATTTGCCATATGGACGGCTTTAGCTGTTTCTATAACAATAATAGTAATAACTAGAAATGTGTCCATAGGACACGGGTGCCCCCACCGCGACACTGTTCTGTCAATCTTTTTACTAAGTCAAGGGAAATAACTCTACAAATACTGGATAAATCCACAAGCCAAACCCCAGGTGCAAATCTAAAATATGCTGAGCAACCTGCCTATAAGGTTTATTGACTATGTCAAATCCTTTTTGAGAAACTTGCGACACAAGTTGAAAATTGCAAAAATTTTTTACGTGAAGGGCAATAACTCTAAAAATACTAAATAAATCCAGACGAAAATACCTGGTGCACAACTGCACATGCTGATCAATATTCCTGTAAAGTTACATGACTCTACGTCAAATACTTTTTGAGTTATGTGCGACACATGTTGAAAATTGCAAAATTTTACTAAGTCAAGGGCAATAACTCTGAAAATACTAAAAATATGCACACGAAAATACCCAGGTGCACAACTACACATGCTGATCAACATTCCTGTAAAGTTTCATGACTCTAGGTCAAATACTTTTTGAGTTACATGCGACACAAGTTGAAAATTGCAAAATTTTACTAAGTCAAGGGCAATAACTCTGAAAATACTAAAAATATCCAGACCAAAATACCTAGGTGCACAACTACACATGCTGATCAACATTCCTGTAAAGTTTCATGACTGTAGGTCAAATACTTTTGGAGTTACATGCGACACAAGTTGAAAATTGCCAAATTTTACTAAGTCAAGGGCAATAACTCTGAAAATACTAAAAATATCCAGACAAAAATACCCAGGTGCACAACTACACATGCTGATCAATATTCCTGTAAAGTTTCATGACTCTAGGTCAAATACTTTTGGAGTTACATGCGACACAAGTTCAAAATTGCCAAATTTTACTAAGTCAAGGGCAATAACTCTGAAAATACTAAAAATATCCAGACCAAAATACCCAGGTGCACAACTATACATGCTGATCAACATTCCTGTAAAGTTTCATGACTCTAGGTCAAATACTTTTGAGTTACGTGCGACACAAAAGTGAACGGACGGACGGACGGAAGGACGGACGGACGGACGGACAAGGGTAAATCTAAATGCCCGCCACTAACGTGGGGGCACAAAAATAAATTAATAATAATAATAATGAAAATAATAATAAATACAAGAGCTGTCACGGGAAACAGCGAAGCTCGACTAAAAAAATACTGGATGCAGTAAGGAAAAGAAAAAACTATGGAAAAATAAAATCAATTAGGTATAATTATGTTTAAGTTATAGTAAAAAAATAACACTGTTAACATTAATTCCAAGATCAAGGGGAATAATTCTAGAAATAGTCATGCTAGAGTTATGGACCTTGTCACACAACATTTGTGTAATGATAAGAAATATATAATTTTTTGAAGTTTGAAGTAGATACCTTAAAAAATAAAGAAGTTATTATATTTCTTAAAGAAAATCCTAAGTTCAAAGAGAAATATCTGTAAATATTGCTTCAAGAGTAATGAACATTGTCACATAAAATGTAATTGATGATAAGGTATAAGTATTTGAAGTTTGAGGTAGATACCTTTAAAAATAAAAAAGTTAAAATAAAAAATAACATTTTTCTAGGAAATAAATCTAAGTTTATGGGGAGATAATTCTTGCAATACTGGTGCTAGAGTTATGAACCTTGTCACATAAGATGTGGATGATGATAACGTAAATATATTTGAAGTATGAAGTTGATCCCTTTAGAAATAAATAAGTTACAATAAAAAATAATATTTTTTATGGAAAATTCTAAGTTCAAAGGGAGATAAATCTGAAAATATTGGTGCTAGAGTTATGAACCTTGTCACATAAGATGGGGATGATGATAACGTAAATATATTTGAAGTATGAGGTTGATCCCTTAAGAAATAAAGACGAAACAGTAAGAAATAGTATTTTTTGAAGAAAATTCTAAGTTCAAGGGGAGATAAATCTGAATATATTGGTGCTAGAGTTATGAACCTTGTCACATAAGATGGGGATGATGATAAGGTACATATATTTGAAGTATGAGTTTGATCCCTTAAGAAATAAAGAAGAATCAGTAAAAAATAGTATTTTTTAAGGAAAATTCTAAGTTCAAGGGGAGATAAATCTAAAAATATTGGTGCTAGAGTTATGAACCTTGTCACATAATATGTGGTTGATGATAAGGAACATTTATTTGAAGTTTGAAGTTGATACCTTAAGAAATAACAAAGTTATAGTGAAAAATATTTTACTGCACCAAAACTTTAATCTAAAATCTGGACGCGGACGTGGACGCGGACGCTGGGGCGAGTAGGACAGCTCTCCATATACTTCGTATAGTCGAGCTAATAAAGAAAATTATACCATCGACAATAATTATAATTATATTAACAGTTTTGGGAACATATATAATTATAATAATACTAATAACAAATAATAATAATTATATTAATTAATAATTTAGTAATTTCTTAGAAAATACTCCGGCAAATAGGTGAACAATTAAACAATAACCCCATTGCATTTATTTATTATTGAAAAAATGCTGAACAGCTAGTCTCAACAGTGTTTATAGGCTAGAATTTTCAGTTTGCATTAGGGCCAAAATTATTAAATATATTGTTAGTCATGACGGCTTTCCCATTGCTGTCATCAAACTTTAACCTTGTTCATAACTTTTTCAGATCTTTGAGTATTGTCTTCATACTTGGCCACAACAACCCTTCAAATAGACCAGACTAAACTAAATTAACTTGACCACCATATTAACATTCAAGGTAAATGTCTTAATTTTCTTGATTTTTGCTATTAGTGGCTATAACTTTGTTATTTTTGAATGGATTGTCTTCAAACTTGAACAACAATCTTTCAGGATAGGACCTGACTCACTCATAAATGTCCTTGAAGCTTTTGTGATCAGGAGTTGTACAGAATAATACAAAACCAGAGCAATTTCATTCACTTGGTTTTGCAACTTCTGAGAAAATGGATTTTAAAGATAGTTGTTTTCTTGAAATTTCAGGACAGTATAGTAGATAGTAAAGACATTTAATACATACTGTATATACACTATAATTACTTATAGTATACTATAAAAATCTTTATGCTTGGACAATTTTGAACAAATTGTTTCTTAAACAGTGTAAGAAATTAGGATTTGAATCAACTAGGCTGGTCAGACTACTAGATTGGAATATTCACTTGTCCAAAAGACATTTCACTAGCACGATTCATTTGTTCAAAACAGTTGTTTATATTGCCTCTGAAAATACAGTAGCCTGGTCGGGCTTGTTCGTAACTGTGAAAAGTTGATAGCCCAAGGAGAAATTTAGTAGTCAGACTCTCAGACTACTGCTAATTTCGAACACTGCTTAAATTATTGATTTGATATTAACTAACATAATTATTGGGATACTATATGTATATCTAATAATAATTATATTTTATGCTTCAGAAGTTCGGCCTACATGTCAGATTTATGAATGTGAACAGCAGGATATCGATTTTAAGGATGCTTTAGGGTCAATGACAATGAAATCACGAGAGACAAAGGCTAAAATGTGAGACTGTCAATCTGACTAACCTTGAAGTGAACAAATGGAAAAAATGTCTCTTTCAATAGCATGGGCTTTTAAGGAAGAGGTACATGATTATTTAGAAGTATTTGTATATGATATTTCTTAATCATTATATTCTAATAGCTTTTTTATCTTGACTAGTTTAAAGGCTAACACAGGACAGTTTATTTTAAGTCAGTGAGCTTCGGTCACTGGATAGACTATTGTCACAAAAAGCCATATTTATAAAAAAGAATTACAGTGTATTTAAATATCTTATACAAGTAATTAGGAACAAAATTAATAGCAAGAACAATTGTGACATGTAACATGTATTTAGGAATTCAGCTTTCTTTTCCTTTTTACCTCAGGACAATTCACATTAAAATATTGAATATTCACAGTAAGCAGTGTTAGCACTCCGACATATCTGACATATATGATCATCTTATCATCACTTAGCTGTCTATAGCTTATCAGAATCACTCACATTTATGAATTTAAATAATTTTGAAAAAATTGCTGCTTAGGAAATAGATAAAATACTTGGGGTGTCTGTGACTGATTGGTTTAGTTTCTTGACTTTAAACCTTTAAGCCTTTCACTGTTGTAAGTTCGTTCTCGGCAAGGGTTTACAAGTGGAATTTTAACTTTGTAATTAACTTTTTCTAAACAAATATTTCAGGAAACAGAGGCGCTTATATGATAGAACAGTAAAAGCAGGAGTGATAAGGAAAGATACATGTAGATGTGTCTTCATGTCGGAAACACTAAAGAAATAGAAATATTGTGGTTTTATAAAACTTAAAAGAAATTGGAATATCAGGAGACTGCCTGCCGTTTGCAATGTTGGATAATGAGTTCTTAGATGTGATGTCGAAAGCCTCATGAATATAGTACCATGACTTAATCTAATTAGAAAAAGAAATGACATTGAGGAGAAAACTACTCACCAGTCTTTCACCAAGAACTAGAGATAACTTTCCAATATTTGAAATATCATAATATGTATAGAACTTTATTGAGCCACCAGTTTTTCACCAGGAAAATAAGATCACTTAACTATTTTTAGCTCATCTGTCACAAAGTAACAGGGTGAGCTTTTTTGATCGCTTTTCGTCTGGCGTCCACTTTAAATGACATCTCCTCATAAACTACTAAGCCAATTTCATCCAAACTTCACAGGAATGTTTCTTTGGTGGTCACCTCTAAATATTGTTCATAGAACGCTGGTTACCATGGCAACAAAAAGAAAAAAACTTAAAGTATCTTCTTTTAAAGAACCTAAAATGCTAGAGCTTAGACAAAGTATCTTCTTTTAAAGGTATGAAACATCTTCTAGTGAGTGTCTACCAAGTTTGTTCAAATAAAAGCCCTGGGGGTCAAAATTGGTCCCGCCCCAGGGGGTCATTGAATTCCCCTATATGCATATAGTAAAAACTTAAAAATCTTCTTTTAAAGAACCAAAAAAGCTAGAGTGTAGATATTAAGCATGAAACATCTTCTTGTAAGTGTCTACAAAGTTTGTTCAAATAAAAGCCCTGGGGTCAAAATTGGCCCCTCCCCGGGGGTCATTGATTTTCCTTATATGTGTATAGCAAAAACTTAAAAATCTTCTGTGAAAAAACCTAAATGGCTAGAGTTTAGATATTAAGCATGAAACATATTCTGGTAAGTGTGTACAAGGTTTGTTCAAATAAAAGCCCTGGGGTCAAAACTGGCCCCGCCCCAGGGGTTTCATTGTTTTTAACTATTTGTGTATAGTAAAAACTTAAAAAATCTTCTTTTAAAAAACCCAATGAGCTAGAGCCTAGATGTTTAGCATGAAACATCTTATGGTGTTGACCAAGTTTGTTCAAATTTAAGCCCTTGTATAAAAATTGGCCATGCCGGGGTGGGGGGTGGTGCAGAGGTCTTTGTTTACATTATATGTGTGTAGTAAAAAACTTAACATCATGAAACATCTTCTAACGGGTGTCTTACAAGTTTGGTCAAATAAAAGCCCTGGGGTTTAAACTGGCCCCGCTCCAGGGGCCTATATACACATGGCCCTCTTGTTCAACAATCTTGTTGAAATATGTATGAACAAATCTTTATCAACTTCAAGCTTTTATTGAAGGAATTTGAAATAACTTGGCAGAAATGATTGTTATAATAAGACAATGAGTCATGTCAACAACCAGACCCCTACCTCCAGGGTCAAGGTCGCACTTGCTCATTCAAGGTCAACTTGTCTATTTGAGAGTATATCTCGTGTCCGGTCTTCCCTATCTCTAAAGGGATTTTGTAAATTCTTGCCACAATTGCTCACAATAATGAGAAGATGTGTCATGCTCAACAACAGGTCACCTGCCTCCAAGGTCAAGGTCACACTTGGAGGTCAAATATTAGCATAGCCTGTTACAGGGTATATTTCGTGTCCGGTCCATAAATTTGTCATTTATTGAAGGAATTTGAAATAACTTGGCACAAATGTTGTTATAATAAGACGATGATGTGCAACAACCAGACCCTTACCTTCAGGGTCAAGGTCACACTTGCTCATTCAAGGTCAACATTGTCCATTTGAGGGTATATCTCGTGTCCAGTCTATACCTTTCTTATCTTTGAAAGAATTTTGTAAATACTTGCCGCAATTGAGAATTTCAGCGATATTTTGTTAAAATTGGGAAAAAATGTAAGACTGAAAGTTTGCAGTGATTAAATGTATGCAAACAATCACTGCCTCGGATGGCTTCTTCAAACATTTAAACACTATTACAGTAAAGATTATTTTCAAAGATTTTAGAATTCTTTATTCAATATTTATATTTTTGTAACTTTCAATTGGGAATATTTTCCTTTGGATTGGGAAAATAATATACTATTTTCAATTGGGAATATGTCCCAATAACGGCTATAAAATAAGCCAAAAAATCCCTGCAAAGCATAACATGATATATTTTGAAATTCAGTATTTCATTTGATTTCTTTAATTAATTTATTGTTGCATTTGCAGATCAAGCATTGATCATAATTTTGGACAGAAAATCCTTAGATCCCTGCCTCAATCTTTTGAAATAGCACAATTTTTTGCTTCATATAAAACTTCCCTGAGGCGGGGGACGTTGGTATCTCTGTTACAAATTCTTGTTTATTTTACCAACAAGTGTTCACTTTCAAACTTTTGATCATTATATTTTTTGTACTACCTTTTGTATAATGTTGTATTTTATTTATGTTCTTATTCTAAGATTAGCATGGCCAACTCATGAAAGTCCAAATGATGGTCAACTTTTTTTATGTTTTTTTTGTTTTTTTGTTGTTTTTTTTTAACATTATTTACTTTATTTTTACAGTGTTCCTCTGAATCATACATTCTGTTTGAGTTAAACATGCACTTCTTGTTACTTATTTACCCATACTTCATATTACATTGATCACGGTTTGATATGATGGCTCATAAAATTATAACAATATCATTTCTTTGTACTTTACCTAGTAAAATATGAAAACAGAAATGCTCTTGTAAGCTAACCAATAAGATTTGTAAACCTTTTAAGGATTCAATTTATAACTGGTATATTCAACAATATATCAAAACACAGGTCAAGTATGATTTCAGTTACATTCCACAAATTTATACATCATTATGCATTCCTTACCAAATCATATGCAAAAAAAAAGATTTATAACTGATAATATTTGAATGCTTTTGAAATCTATAAAGATTTTTCATATAACTCTGGACAAAATTTAACAGTCTTTAGTGAGTTGGAGTGTAGTATGAACAAGAGCTGTCAAAGGAGACAGCGAAGCTCGACTAATAAAATACTGGACGCAGTTAAAGGAGGACAAAATACGAAAGAAAAATCAATTATGTATAATTATGTATTAAGTTATAGTAAAAAAATAACATTTGTTAACATAAATTCCAAGATCAAGGGGAATAATTCTTGAAATAGTCATGCTAGAGTTATGGACCTTGTCACACAACATTTGTGTAATGATAAGAAATATATATTTGAAGTTTGAAGTAGACACCTTAAAAAGTAAAGAAGTTATTATATTTCTTAAAGAAAATCCTAAGTTCAAAGAGAGAAAAATCTGTAAATATTGCTTCAAGAGTTATGAACATTGTCACATAAAATGTAATTGATGATAAGGAATAAGTATTTGAAGTTTGAGGTAGATACCTTTAAAAATAAAAAAGTTATAATAAACAAGATTGCATTTGAGAAAAATGCTATGCCACCGCATTAATACCTAAGCTCTAGGCCTTTTGGGCATTTACAAGAAGGTATTTTAAGTTTTTGAAGCCTTGTACCTTGTACCTACAGACAATAAGATTTTTTTATTTTTTACTATATGTATATATTGAAAATCAATGACCCCCGGGGCGGGGGCAATTTTGACCCCAGGGCTATAATTTGAACAATCTTGCTAGAGGTTCACTACACAATGTTTCATGCAAAATATCTAACCTCTAGCATTTGTCAATTGCTAGAAGAAATTTTTTTTAAAGTTTTTACTATATACATGTAACGAAAACCAATGACCCCCGGGGCAGGGCCGATTTTGACCCCAGGGCTATAATTTGAACAATCTGGGTAGAGGTCTACAACACAATGCCTTATGCTCTAGGCCTTTTGGGTCTTTACAAGTAGGTATTTAAAGTTTTTACTATATGTACATATAGTGAAAATCAATGACCCCCGGGGCGGGGCCGATTTTGACCCTAGGGCTATAATTTGAACAATCTTGGTAGAGGTCTACCAGGCAATGCCTAATGCAAAATATCTAAACTCTAGGCTATTTGGGTCTTTACAATAAGGTATTTTAAGTTTTTACTATATGTACATATAGTGAAAATCAATGACCCCGGGGCAGGGCCGATTTTGACCCCAGGGCTATAATTTGAACAATCTTGGTAGAGGTCTACCAGACAATGCCTTATGCAAAATATCTAAGCTCTAGGCCTTTTGGGTCTTTACAAGAAGATTTTTTAAATTTATTCTTATAATCTTATAATTCCTTTTGGTTGCCATGGCAACCAGATTTCTGCATGGAATGAAATTCTTTGAACAACTTTGGAAGCCCTTCACCCAAGGATCAATCCTGCCAAGTTTGGTTGAAATTGGACTATTGGTTTTTCACAAGAAGATTTTTTACGTTCACTATATAATCTATATAACAATGACCCGGGGCGGGGCCGATTTTGACCCCAGGGCTATAATTTGAACAAAGTTGGTAGAGGTCTACCAGACAATGCCTTATGCAAAATATCTAAGCTCTAGGCTATTTGGGTCTTTACAATAAGGTATTTTAAGTTTTTACTATATGTACATATAGTGAAAATCAATGACCCCGGGGCGGGGCCGATTTTGACCCCAGGGCTATAATTTGAACAATCTTGGTAGAGGTCTACCAGACAATGCCTTATGCAAAATATCTAAGCTCTAGGCCTTTTGGGTCTTTACAAGAAGATTTTTTAAATTTATTCTTATAATTCCTTTTGGTTGCCATGGCAACCAGATTTCTGCATGGAATGAAATTCTTTGAACAACTTTGGAAGCCCTTCACCCAAGGATCAATCCTGCCAAGTTTGGTTGAAATTGGACTACTGGTTTTTCACAAGAAGATTTTTTAAGTTCACTATATAATCTATATAACACACACACACACACACACACAAACAAACACACACACACACAGGTGAATCGCTATATGCCACCGCATCGCAGATGCTGCGGTGGCATAAAAATAACATTTTTCTAGTAAAAAAATCTAAGTTTATGGGGAGATAATTCTTGCAATATTGGTGCTAGAGTTATGAACCTTGTAACATAAGATGTTGATGATGATAACGTAAATATATTTGAAGTATGAAGTTGATCCCTTTAGAAATAAATAAGTAACAGTAAAAAATAATATTTTTTATGGAAAATTCTAAGTTCAAAGGGAGATAAATCTGAAAATATTGGTGCTAGAGTTATAAACCTTGTCACATAGGATGGGGATGATGATAACGTAAATATATTTGAAGTATGAGGTTAATCCCTTAAGAAATAAAGAAGTAACAGTAAAAAATAGTATTTTTTGAGGAAAATTTTAAGTTCAAGGGGAGATAAATCTGAAAAATATTGGTGCTAGAGTTATGAACCTTGTTGCATAAGATGGGGGATGATGATAAGGTATATATATTTGAAGTATGATGTTGATCCCTTAAGAAACAAAGTAGTAAAAGAAAAAAAAAGT